TAAATCCACGTGTGTTCTTCAAATTATATATAAGTCGTTGAAACAAAAAATTATGACAACAAGGCATGTAGACTGTAGAACACTTCATTTATTTTCGAAAGAAATTTTCGGCCAGTAACAGCCAACTTGTACATTCAGTAAAGCAGATGAAGGCCAGGGGACTGGCCGAAAATTTCTTTCGAAAATAAATGAAGTGTTCTACAGTCTACATGCCTTGTTGTCATAATTTTTTGTTTCAACGAACGATTGAACAAACAAATTGTTGGGTACAGTACTAACACTATAATAATGGTGATAATAATAAATAATAATGATAAAAACAATAGGCCTAATGGTGATAAAACAATAATGATAATAAAACAATAACGACGACAGCTTCGACTGCGGCTACAACTATAACTAGGCCTAGTGTCAATAACCTTGTATTATGTGTACCGGTAATTTTTCAACGGAAGTTAAGAACAAATTTGATCGACAGGCTGTAGAAAAACAAAACGATTTATTGAGACGTTTGATAGCATAAAATCTGGACTCAACAAGGACTATGGAAATAATTGTTATCACATACACGGTACGGTGTTTCTCTAGACACGCCACTGGTTGTATTGTGTTACCTCCAGGTCTTTTTCATGTAGTACAGCAGTTTACTCCGAGTTTTCCCATATATCACTTAAGTGTGAATTCAGCCTATTGTATTTATCAATCACTCTCTGACACTTACTCTATAATAGCATGACAATATTGATAATATTATACTTTTCTTAATATGATAATAATGAGAAATATGATGATACCATGCATAGATATGGGATCTGATTCTTGCTGTAGATTGCAGATTTGAACTGAATTAAATTGAAAGTACATGAGGTACGGTACGATGTCATAATGAATACAGCTTCTCGGATAAGAACTATAAATCGTAGGTCCACCCTTCGTACATTTTCAAGACGAGTAGGGGTTACTGTACCACTGTATAGGCCCTACTGATCAGCCCCTGCTGCCGGTAGTAGATTCTGAAGATCCCTTACATGATGTTTACCTATTATACCTAAACAAATCACAAGCTTAAGATCAACAGCAATTGCATACCACAAAAGAAAATCAGTGCAAATTCATTACTCCCAAAACCATCTTTAGAAAACTAAAGTAAGGCAAAGTATCTTCATGGAGGCATATGCTTAAAAGGAATTTGTATGCATTTTGCCATAAATTACGCATAAGATAATTTTAAGGTGATGAACAAAGAAAAAAAATGTTTTTATACGCCTGATAATCCCTGCATGAACAGTTCAATTCAATTCAATTCAGTCAACATTTATTTGGTACTCTCAAACAAATACAACAGAAGTAGGCCTAACCAAGGAGTACACATAAGAAAACAATTTCTGTCAGTGTGTACCCATTTTACAAACTGTAAACATGCAATAATCAAAAATAGTGAAAAAACCCAATTGGCTGATCAACAAATATATTGCAAATAATCATATAAACAAGTTGAATTGTCAATTGAAGTTCGATCTATCATGCAGACATTACTTAAATAAGTACATTGACAACATAGGCCTATATTTTTTTAAAAGATAATTTTAGACCTTTGTAAGTTTACAATTTCTGTTTGTATATACCGCTTTTACAATATACAAACATGCATCAAAAATAGTGAAAAACCCCATTTGAGTTATTGTGAAAGTAATTGTCTACCATCTTTTTTACAATGTACACTTTACTTTATGTCTTTTAATTCAACAGAAAATGGTAGAGTAAGAGTGGAAGTAAAATGAATGAAGTGGGAAAAGGCATATGATGTACAGGTCAGTTGATATGTTACAGTACAGCTGTAGTTATTCTCATAATTCATTATTATGTAGTTTATATCGTCTGTGACTGTGTACACATACTGCTTTAATTTTTTTATTTAGTATTCTGTCAATTGTTGCTTGTTAACCAATTCTTTTATCTGTAACATATTTCAAATCTCTTAATTTTCAGATAAATGTTACAGATATACAATGAGAATCATGAATCATTGTTGGTTACCACTTCATTTTACCTGCCATGCGCATAGCTCATTTACATTTCCAGCTTTATTTAAAAATCATTATTATTGTTAGATCTATTTACCAAGTCTTTATTTTTTATGTACTAATTGTACAGCAAACACTGTCGTAATAAAGGGACCGGAGGCCCCGACTCTGTCCTTCATCGACATACTTCACCATGCTTGGTGACACGTAGGGCTCCGGATGGTAGTACGGGGTAGAAGCACCCATCTGCTCTGGTGTATGACTCTTTTATGTATTAAGACATGGCCGATTCATGGTAGATGGTTTGAAAGTGTGTCTATGGTCCTGGCAGAAAAAGCAAATTAATATACTGGGTCGCTGGCTTAGGCCAATAAGAGCTTACAGCCACCAAATCACTAGCATTGTTTTAAAACATGTTGAACCATTTTTCTATTTATACAAATAATAACATAATAGTTCAATTGCTTTTTCAGAAATGTTTCAACAAGCAACATTTGTAATCATACCAAGGAGGCGATAGCGGTAGAATGCTCCCAGGTTTAATCGGTACAGTTAAAAAGTAATTAATTGTGATCTGTTGATTTTTTTAAAATTGTTCTCACTTTATATTAAAATTAGCAATGCGATTTAAGTGTACAGTAGTAGTTAGGTTTTAGTTTTTTGATTACTAATTCATTGTCCTATGACTTAAAGAATATATGTAAATAAGCGTTGATTATAAATTTTTTTTTTTACATTTTTTAAAATATTGCAATAAATGTATTAATGAAATATATAGGGCCTAATTTACATTTACTTATCACAATAATATGATACAGGATTTTAAAAACTCCTTGTGGAATTTAATAATAAATGCACAATAATAAATAATAACAGAATTGTCGTTCATTTCATTTGATGATACAGTAAGTGAATCTGTGTATTAGTTCTTAAAACCTCTCTCAACTATTAATAGATAGGCATATTACAGCGGCTCTGAGGTACGAGAACAGTTGCACAGTTAAAGAGGTTCCTCAGAAAAAAAAATTGATATGTTGTACAACTGATTTCTAGACACAAAAAGCCTATTTAAAAACTGGGGGAAAAGGGGCGTAACCACCCTTTAAAAAAAATTGTTGTTTTAACCACCCTTTTCCACCTTAGCTTCCACACTATAAACTCGGTCCAATGCTTGATTGGTTGTCGAAAACCGTCTACGCGATCAGTTTTTTTAGCCAATAACAATTCATGTTCGGTTTTTGGCTAATGACGGTGAATCCCATGACTCATGGTTCAAACTACTACGGTATACTGTACTTTACACAATACATTATACTACTACTGCAGAGGCCACTACCAGGAATACTACTACTACGGTACCCTGTATAGACAGTTCAGTTCCGTATTCGGTGTGTTGACATCCATGGAATTTTAACAGGAAAACGTCCAAAATTCGATAGTTAGAGAAAGACAGAAACTACAGTAGAACCCCTATCAAGGGGACACCCTCGGGACCAAAAAGTGTCCCATAGGGGTGTCCCCTAAATATGGGTACCTCTGAATATACTAACCAAACACGGGAAATTGGCCCCTTAATAGGGGTTTTTGGCATGTTTTCGAAAAGGGGCGTAACCACCCTTTTCCAACTCGTCCAATGCTTGATAATGCTTTTTAGGCAATAAGAATTCATGTTTGGGTTTTGGCTATAATGACGGCGAGCTCCATGACTCATGGTTAAATATAGGCTACTCACTTATACTACTCTGAACATGGAGGAATTACAGTAGTGTAAACTTAATTCCTCTATGCACTATATAGGCTCCTACCAGGAATACCTGTTCTCCGTTGGTACCTTATGCCAACGTGATATGGAAAGCTCTGAATCAGTTTAACCATTAAATTTATATTAACTTCAGTATCGCCTACATGTGTTTAATTGTATTTTTATAACAATATGATATTTATTATTGCAATAATCATATATTAATCCCTGTGCCATGTACGTGCGTGTGTGTATTTTAGGCTATCAGTTTCTATAAACATATTAAGAAATGTAGAAACAGATCTGAATGTTGTACCAGACAACTAAAACCAAGTCTGATTAAACAATGTAAACTGGTTCACATCGAACCAACATTATGATCTTGGACATCATCGTTCGATGTGAACCTGCCCAAGCTATGATAAGATCATGATCTTGAAAATCACGTTAAATGTTTAATACATGGAGGAAATAATGGGAAGATTAACATTTCATTACAAATCAACCATAATTCCATTACATCAACGATCCTCGCACTTCCTTTTACACCAGCGCTTCCTCGTCAAAGAAACAAGATGTTCACACGCAGGTTTTATATTGGATGCAGCAGGCTTTTATAGCTGTAAAATCTATACAGAAAGATAAGTAGGCCCAATGGCTAGGCATAGATATCAAATGTCCTTTGAATTAGTTTAACCATTTGTATTTCATAATTGTATTTTTATAACATACAATTATACAATTTTTAACTTCGGCATGTCGCCAATACAGATCTTGCTAACAAGTGGTGTAGCAGTGCGGTGGGGGGAGGCTCGATGATCAGTTCTGGGGCGCTAACCCCCAAAATAAGGTGATTATAGGTGTGACAGCGACGTTGTTTCGAAATCGATCCGGGGTGGAGCACTGTTGGACACACCGATAGCGCACATGCATTTCAGAACTGTTTTTAATTTTAAGTACAGTAGTTGAAGTCCCCCCACCCCTCCTTTGAATTCGCCACTAGTTATTGTTGTTGCTGCTGTTATTATTATTATTATTATAATTATTATTATTATAAACGATCCGAAAATAACGAAACTAACAAAACAGTTCCGTCAGTATGAGCGAATTATACAGTATATTTAAAATACTGTACTACAATTCCGCAATTCCCAACAAAGCCTTTTGTATGAAAAGGTCAGGGCTAACCGCAGCACCGTATTATTTTATGCGGCATCACACCAAAACTGTGTCGGGCTACCTCATTCTTTGAAGCAGTACTGGCCTATATGTACGCGAATTGAAACGGTTAAATTATATTTTTTTTAAATAGTTTTTTGTTCTTTGGTTCATGGTCTATGGTCAACAACCTTTAAACTCCTAAGACCCATAATAAATAGCTTTCGCACCCAAGGCCTCTATATATTATTTACCCACCCTTAAATATGTCGTCACAAAAACCAGAATATACGGTTGGGCTGATATTTTAAATTATAGGTAGTGCCTTGTAACATTTTGGTTGTGTTCCATGGTGCGTGATTCAGTGAACACCAGCATCAATATAAATGCGCACATGATTGAATACTGTACAATTTTTTTAGAGCACATTTTATTTAAAAAAAAACACTGAGGCAGAGATTAAATAGATAAAATAAGAACAAATGGAGGCTGACTGTGATGCCAATGAGTTTTTATTTTACCTAGAAAAATCAATAAATTAAGCTAGTCACAACAGTAGCAGCAGTACGTCTGGCCATCTTCGAAAAGTGTGCCAAAATAAAAACAAAATATTGAAAACTTTGGGGCCTGAAATTGGCCGAAAAAGAACACTGAGCCTGGGCAAAATTTTACTTGTTCTTATAAAAACAAAATTGTATTGAAAGAAAATTCTGAGCACTCAAAACGAGCCAAAATGTTCAATCACATGTGGAAAACACCTGATGTAGGCCTACTTATGATTTATATGATTTATTGCTTATATAATTAAGGGCTAATTTTTTAGTAACAACGACACGGCACTCATCGCCACTAGCGCATTAAGCTTATCAATTTGAGAATAGCAAACATTTTATTAGATTATTTTATGAACCTAAACTTGCAATCTGTGTGTGCTAAACTGAGCGCTTGGTTTCTTTTTTTTTTTTTTGTTCATGAACAACAGAAATGATAAATCTGAATAAATCATTATTCAAGGAACTAACCACCAGGAAATAAATATATGGTAATCAACACTCCATTTCATTTATTTATTCTACCAATGCACACTTACAATATGAAGCTACAACAGGCCTACAACAAATTTTGGTATAAGGGAAGCTTACTTAAAACAAGATAAGGTAATAATACAAGATCAACTTTATTGTCATGGTGTACAAGGTGTACAGGATAGTTGGTTTCCTTGGTGGTTAAACTACAGTACATAAATAATACAGTATGAAATAATATAAAACCCAAATGATCAGTTGCACCTCACTATAACAACTCCCTGGTTGCACTTCAAAAATAATATAAAAGACTATACAATAGACCAGAACAATATAAATAAATCAAAATCGGCCTATCATTTGAGTTGAAAACATGACTTTGCTCTAGATATCACTTCCCCATTTGTTTTCTATTGTGACATATTCAAATTGTAAAAGTCTTGTAATGTGTAGAGCCATGAAAGATTATAGGATCGATAAACTGCCATTGGAACATGGACTTCATGCCCACGCTCGTTAGTTCATCACTATTAATAAAACCGTGGTTGAACGGTTTCACTGCATTCACTCGGTTTTAAATTGTAGTTCGTTGTTGCATCATCACTGCCTCCTGTACTTTGTAGTCTTGTGTGTAGTGCAGTTGAACTGTAGTTAAATGTACAGTAATCCACTTCAAAGAAAATCCTACATCATAATTTTTAATAACATAATAGTAAACATTCTAATACTCTACAATTATAATACCTGTAATATATTAACACTAGAAAATCGTAGTGTTAAAGGGATCACCTTAACAATTCGTATTGGAAACTAGAATCCATTGTAATAATGTTATGACGACATATTTCACGAAACATCGTCACGAGTCACAGGATGGCGAAGGCATAGCAAACAGACTTGTTAACCCTATTGCTTGCGTTTTCTTATAGAGAAAGAAAATGTTTCCATACTCATATCTTTGGCCTTCAGTAATTTAGATTTTTCTTCATTATAGAGTACAATATTGTTTTTCAATTTAAACACACACACACACACAAACAAACAAACAATGCGCAGATTGGAAAATCCAAGATAGTTTACCAGGTAGCAGAGGCCTAAACCAATGTAGCAGAGGCCTAACCAATGCATTGGTAACTAATACATTAAAATACATGTACATGATTTACATGTACTGTACATGCATATCTATATATAAATCATGAGTAATCCCGTTCTGTAGACTAACCTGTTTCGCCTTTTTTTTAACGAGAAGAAAATTTTATAGATATACCGTACATAATGTACTGTATACATTTATACATAGGGATGCCAAATTATTGCAATTTCAACCAATATCATCGGATTATCCGAATTCAAGTTTCATATTTGAAAGATGGTTTTCTTTTAATCAACAACGCGATTCCTCCTCGGTGCGAATTTACTTTAGGCTAATCACGTTTAACGGGAAAGACATCGAATCGGCAAGGTGTTTTTAGTGCACAAGTCTGACGAAGACTGCTGGGGTGGCTGACTACATGTACAGTCAACGGTTAGCTGTGCTTTTGTAAAATAATGAACATGACTTTCTTTTCTATCTTTTATAGACATAGGCCTACATTCTCAAACTTTTGAGGATGGCTTAAAATGACCCAAATTTATATTGCCATGTCTTTATCTGCCGTGCTAAAGTGGGAAATTAATAAATTTCTGTTCTTGAATCTGGAGCTACAATACAATGTATTAGCCTATAAAGGGAACCCTCAGACGGGGGTATTGAATCAAAGCAAAAAAATCACGCCCATGTAGCCCCTCTCAGTGGTGGCGTCAGAGGGGGACTGGGGGCTATTTATTCAAAATGTTTTGGTTTTGGAAGCTGATTTCAACATTAGAAAGCACAGCCTACATGAAGTCATATTATAGTAACTCGATGCCTATCAAGTAAGTAATAAAAAATCGCCCTTATTCATCAAATACCCGTGGCTTCCAGGGGGGGGGGGGCGAAGCCCCTGGACCCCCACCGTGGCCCTAGGCCAAGAACAAGTGTCTCACATCCACAAATTTGGGATGTATGAGGGCCCCCAATAACAGTCAGCGCCAGGGCCCCACAAATTCTGTGATGCAACTGATTTTGTAAAACAATATACAGGGTATTACTTAAAATGAGATTTTAAAAATGTAAATCCAATGATACCAGTCGCATGACATTGAGCGATGAACAATTAAGTTGAAGCACTGCAAGCACTGCATTTGATTTGTATAAAAATTGTTTGTTGAATATTTTGGTGGGCACACAGTTTCATCCAGAAAAAAAAATAAAACACAATTATTCATAAAGCATGTAAGGAATTGTTTTATTATGAACATACAATATAAGAAAATACAGGCATGAGAAAATAATACTGCAATACAAGTTCAGTAGTGTTGCTAACTGCCCTACCAAAGACTCCTTTCCTTACTTACATTAGACTCGTCCGTGGCGGTTGGTCTTTAGCTCCTGCCACACACCCCATTCATCATCACCTCTAGCCTTTGAACCTATGTGACAACGTACCTCATCCTAAACACATACCGATTCAAGTTTGCACATTCAAAACAACACATGTGGAATATGTATCACTAAACAAGAAACATAGTTACATAGTTCAAAAGCAAAAATGTATCATTATCAAATGTAACATCACCATCAAGAACGAAATAAATTCTGAACACAGTTTTGAAATCATCCCTATTTTGTTCTGTACAATAATTGATTTAACCTACAACATTTACAACTACAATGATGCATTAACCATAGTATAAGTAGTTACACTTGTTAAATTAGGATATCTTTCAATATTTAACTACAGTTACAGCTTTTTATTAATTACACAATTTAATTTTACTTGTCCAACGAATGAGGTGTAAGGCTGAGAAGAATACAACACCCTTCCTCCTTAATGTTCTCCCAGAATCATGACTTAAAATATTATAAGAGTGAATTGCTGCAATGCAAAAATGCTACATTTACATCATCTCCATAAATTGTTGGTTGCAGTTTCAACATTCCCAGCCCTTTTAAGGTTTCTTCCAACACACTTACCTGGATTGCTCATTTCCTACTCAAATTCTTACAGCTCAGCAGAATCTAAATACTGTACAATAGTTATAATTTTCGACCTCAGTTAAAAAAAAAACCCCTTAGTTTTAACGATCAATAATGTAAAATAGAATCATTCCTACATTCTACACATCAAAATAATTCATGGTTTGTGATTTTCATACTTAAAAACACTAGTTCATTCTCAACATACATAGAAAATAATATGAATATATTCTTAAAATGGTATAACAATTGGTAACAGTGATCATAAAGAAACCACTATGGTAACAATTACACATTTTGAACAATCTAGTTACTTACAATAGCGATGAGAACATCTCTGCTAGTTGTGTAAGTCCACCTGCAGCCTACTTATCTATGAGGAAGACAGCACATTGCAAAAATGCACATCATATTATCAATATTCATTTAAAAATCCGGGGGGAAAAACCAAATAAAATACTGAAAAATTACATACGGTAGATAAGTGGTAGATGAAACCTAGTCCAGATGCACACTAGGTGATCTTATTTCGACCTCTTACATTTAAAAACCTTGAAGCAACATGGACCTTTCCTTACCTTGGTCACCGTGTTTATATATTTACATTAAGTCTATGTGGTAAAAACATCTAACTCAACTACAACCAATTTTTATCTTGGACTTGGCAAAAACATCAAGATTAATGTTGTAATGGAGGAACTGCATGGTAATAGTCATCAGGCTTCATAAGATCAAAGACACTCGTTGATAATCAATCAATCAATCAATCAAAATACTCCATAGCACAATGAATCAAAGTATCAATCAATCAATCAATCATTATATGTGGTTGCTGTTCTAACTCCAACATTGACGCCTGGAAATATATAAAAAGATGCATGTTGCAACGTCATGACAATAACGAATAACCATAGCATTGCACACGCACCATTGCAACTTCAATCACTTCATACACGACTGTTGTTCGCACACATGCACAGCCATCATGTAGCTAATGTTTCACACAGGACCATGCAAATGATCTGGCTTTGCCCAGGTTTCTTTCGTTTACATCATCACAACCTCCCACATACTCTACGTGCAAACAGTATGGGTAAACAAAGAAACCTATCATCCAATCAAATAGGTGAAACATATATAAACTGGTCCAACATTAACCCCTCACAAAATCTCATAAAATTTAAAAACGTGTTAAGTTAGAAAAGTAATTCAAAAAAGAAGCAGCATAAACATACAACACCAAGTATAAACAAAGGCACAAGAAATGTATGATTAATTTTGGTTTCGGAGAATGGCTAATAAATGGCAATATCAAACAAATTTGATAATAGTGTTCCATTACAAAAACTAGATAAAATAACCTACTATAAAATCCAATAACACTCCCATCCCCTAGCTAAACAGTTTTAAAATGATAAATTATGTAAAACACAAATTCAATATTTAAAATGTAATGAATATAACATTTAAAGGAATGTTGTTAAATCTAACATAGTACAGTACAACTGTACTAAGCAATGATACTAAATACAGTCATGAACTTATCTAAAGTCTGCTGTCGAAAGATCAAGTATTGCATTTATTTTGAATACCTAAAATGATAGATTCTACAAGGCATTTACTATAGAACTAAACATACCAAAATGTATTTATAGACAAAGTAAAAAAATAATATTGGTTTCCATTGATCAATGTAAAGACAGATAATAATCATAATTCACACAAAAAATCTTGCATGAAAGTTGATGAATCTCGCATAGGAATATCAATTCTATTAAATTCAATACTGTAGTATCAATATATGTATGGGACACAATGTAGATAGTTAATAATCATCGTTACTCAGTATGCTTGGTAGGGGTACCACACAACAAAACCCACATATTTCTCAAAATATTCACACATATATATATATGAAACACCCATCCTAATTGGTCAACACACTCCCGGAAAAGGAATTGATGTACATGTAAATGGGTCATTCCTTTAAAAGATATCAGAGGGTGCTAGAAGCAGCAACAGAGGATGTACAGAAGTAATGACCTATGGCTAGAGAGAAAGCTGGAAAACATGCTAAATATTGATATTTGCTTCAATATCTTATTTATATCATATTCAACTAATGTATTTTCATGTACTTCAAAGTATTAAATTAAATGATAAAAATTTTTTTATTTATAACAATTCACTGTAAATTCGATAAAATAAAAAAAATACTAACAATAAACATAACAAAAGCCATTATAAATATAACATTGGTAATGATGGTAATAAATAATCAGGTTAATATATAAATTATTATTTTTACATGACAAGTTTTTAGTTAAAAACAGTTCAGTCCTAAGCAAATTATAATATGTTGAAATGAATTACTAAATATATATATTAAGAAAAAGTTTTAAAAATCATTTCAAGTATTATGTATTTCATATTGAATTACTGAGAAATTTCATGAATCCATAGAACCTGATACAGTGTGGAAGCATTAGATGGGTTGTTTTGTATGTACCTACATGTTCCACCCAAAGCCGTGAAATTCTAGGACTCTGTTTGAAAGTAAAAAACAAAAACAGATCAGGCCAAGCAATATACAATTCAATTAGAGAAATATGAATATTCATGATCACATTAGATATGCAAATTTGTCCTCAAAAGGTTAAGAGTTCAATTAAATTTCATGAGTATGCACAACAAGATTTAGAATACAAAAATATAATATCAAATTCCATTCATAAACTAGCACAAGGTATTCAGATAATGAGCATGTAAGTTGGCTAGAATAAATTTATATGGTTGAAAAAAATATCAACATTTTCTGCAAGGTTATAATCATATTATGAGTGACTAATAAATACAGAATTATAAGGGTCAATTACTGTACTGTATATCATATTAAAAACCAAACAAATACAACAAAATAATCATGATTTATGTTGTCAGGAAATGCATAGAAAACACACATAAAAGAATATAAATGGATTAAAATTCACAAGAATATCAGTCATCCATAAAATAATAAAATCAACATGTATGCATGTCAAAAGTGAGGCAAAGATCGATGGAATTTGTATAAAAATTTAAATTATGTTAGTCATCATAAACACGGTATTAACACAACGTAGGAATGCCAATGTTTAGCCTAAAGAATCATTTTTAATTTGACATTAAAATACAGTATATTATGCAATAAAATTATCAAGGATATCAAAATGTTTATAATACATGTACTTTTCATATTTTAAAAAAATATTTACATTTTATGTTAAAAAATAGATTATATCAATTAAAAATATAGAAATACTGTAATGTCAAAGAATTAAAATTTAATTGCTGCACATATTACGTGTCTAATGACAAACAATATTGGTTTTTCCTGGTATACTTACAGCTGCGAAGCCACAGCATACGGTCCTCAACCAAAGGAAGTTTAAATGAAATGTATGACTATACAATATTTCTGTTGTTGCATGTTCGAATGTATGCATGTATGTATACATGTTTGTGTAAATGCATGAATGTTGGAAATGTGTAACAATGTACAGTAAGCTAGAGTGCAGAAGTTGTAATTGATTTCAATTGTTGCCACAAACTGCATTTGGTTCCATCCAGGTAGTTGTAGGGCAACCTAGCTTCAATAAATAGGCATATGCAATACATGTTCCAAATGTTCATCATACCAAAACAGTATATAAGTGCAATTTAAGTGTTTTCAATTAAAAATACATCTACTTTTATTAAAATATAGTAGATATCACTCTAATATAATATATATTTTAAAACTTTTTTAGCTTGTCAATCTTCATGAAAAATTCATTTAAATTACCAAAAATCATCTCTTTTAAGATAACAAGGTATGAGAGAAATGTTTATGGTGGATACACCACAGTATATATTTGCAGTACACCACATATATTATATAGTTCCGAGAAGAACTGATGAGTCGCCAGGTTTGCCGATACTCTCGAAACATCAGTTTTCCTCATAACTATTTTGTGGTGTACCACAAATTTATACAAATGGGATGTGTGTAATAGTGAAAGTAATGAAAATTGTGAGAAATAAATTAATCTTGCGCCAATTCTATTTACCCAAAAAACTATATCATCATTAAAATTATTAAACTAAAACATCACCTACATCATGAATCTACCATGCTTTATTATTAGATCAATTATTAATACTATTACTATTTCGTACTTTTATAAAATAAAAAAAAAATATATAAACAAGTTTCCTAGTTGCATCAATAACAAACTATATACATCCTAAAAAAATCTGCAACACTTTATGAATCGATCATGGAAAATACCTAAATTGCAATTAATTATATACAAACTATTTTATATATATATATACACTTCACATGGACAAATGTATAAACCCAGAATGGACTTTCCTATAGCACACTGCTCACCTAAACTATACAGTAGAGGACAGGGTGAAGAAATCACTGCCTAAAGCATTTATATCTGGTTGGTTAAAAAACACTTTATAATCTCAATATCAATACACAAACTGACAAAGCTCCTCACTACATCAAAACACTCAAGACAATGTTAGAAAGTAAAAGCAAATATAACAAAGAATAACTCAATTTCAGATTTTGTATGACTATAAACTGTCAAATAGTAAAAAAAAAAAAAAAAAAAAAAAAATGCTATGGTTGGTAAATTAACATATAATTTTTACTAGAAGTATTAAAGTGTAAGGTTTGCAAGAAGATACAGATAGAAATTAAACAGCAAAATGAACATGTTACATAATAAAACAAAGCTAGCCTAAAAAGTCCTATAAAAGTTCACCTGTTTAGTTGATCACATCTGGGCATTTTCTGGCTAGTACTGTGGCTGTTGTGAAAAAAAATAATGTAAATATTCAATGCATGTCAAAACAAAATTATTTAAAAAATTTGCATTATTATTAGAGTTGATGTGTGTGATTCAATACAGTATTATAGATGCTGTCTCATAGTAATGTATCACCACTATTAATTTAAATTTTCCCCACAAATTAAATTAAGAAATGTAGCTTAAGATTTTCTTGTATCAAGAAATAAATTATATATTTAGGAACATTGTGATACAAGTTGTCCAGCATGACACATCAGCAGGAATGAGGTACTATCAGTTGAAGCTCAGGAAATTTGCCATCAGGGGGTCAACACGTATTCCCATCCATGTTTACTGAATAAGGAGTTGCAGAGTATTTGTTACTATCAAAGTAGTCTGGCAGGAGATCCAAACCGTGGCACTGCAGAGAGCATCGTTAAAATTCCTGGGTGGTTTCGTGGGGAGAAATTTTAGGGATTGGCAATCAAAATAATGATGGAAAGCCAATTAATATTTGTAGTCTGAGAGTCTTGTAAAATCGGGATCCACGCTTGACCGACGAAAAGGAAAACTGCCCCAATGAATACCCACTGGTGCTGCCTCTGTGTTTTATGCTAAATACATATTGACATGACCAAAAACTAACCTGTTGTTGGGGTTGTGCCTGGGGTTGCTGCTGGGCTCCTTGTGACTGTGGATAGTAGTAGCCCTGTTGACGCCAGTACTCTGCCCATTCTGCGCTGTAATCTTGGGTACCGCCCCCTGCGGCTGCTCCACTCTGGCTGGTAGCTGCAGCTGGGGGCTGGCTTGATGCTACAGCTTGTGCTGCCTGCTGTGGCTGTCCTGCTGGTGCTGCAGCTGCTACAGGCAGGGTGGAAAGTGTTCAAATGTTTTAGATATTTATCCACTTCACTCAAATGCTAACAATATAAACAATGCAACATATTCACCGCTACAGGTCTGTGGCTAGGCCTACTATCGAACCCCTCCAATTGGACACAAGTGCCCTGGTGGTGCTAGCGAAAACCCAGCCAGATATTTCTGTAGCACACATTATACGCCCAGCATCCACAGGATAGGATGATGGGTTCTAGCAGGTGCAGAATGTTTCACATACAATGACCACAGCAAATATTCACAGTGCCAAGTTTGGCATTGGTGACAAAAACATGAAAATAGAACTTTTTATAAAATCATATTCTCCACATTATAAGCTTTAAAATGATGGGTCATTTACTGGAATCAATTTACTATTACAGTAGAACCCCCTCTTTTGGGACACTTTTATTAAGGGAACGATTTTTCAACCATGAAACGAAGGGAAGTAGTTGAACTTGCCTAAGTTGAATCCAAAATGACATTAAAAAACTGTTCGAATTAGATAAAATTTGACTTGTGGAAAACACAACAATTTGCCATTAAAATAAGATGGACTTAGATTAGAGTTAGGCAAAGTGGACTTAGGCAAGTTTAACAATGTATTTTTTAACACTATGGTCAACCCCTATTCAGAGGACACCCCTATTAAGGGGAAACTTTTTTGGTCCTGTGAGTGTCCTCTTCATAGGGGTTCTACTGTATTATTAAATTATGAGTAAAAGTTCTCTGTACTAAAGTATACGATACTGCCACATTCTTATGCTAATTACTCAGTTTAACATTTAGCAACAGTTCACTGGTTTTGGGATGGTTAGCCTCATATATTTCTAAAATTTAATACCAATTTTCTAGTTGATAGTAATGAATACTAACTAAATGTTTCTAATCTTCGATACTAATTTTACTCACAATTCAATAAGTTGCACAAATACTTTGCTACAACTAAGGCTGATCTTAATAATCTTATAATTAGAATAAAAAGATAATTATTCAGTTTTTCCAAACATAATGAATGTTATAAATTATTTAGGCGTCACAGTTTGTCCTGAGTAAATTATATACAAATTAGAAACGGTAAATAAATGCAGCCCTTTAAAAAAAAATGAAGATATACATAAATATTAGCTTGTGGATATTTTCAATAAAATCTACGTTTGATATCAACAGCCTTATGAAAGAAATACCACTCATTAGCAAGACCATATGTTCAAGAAACCACCGAAGGTATCTAGATTTATTGTAAGTGTAGGTATAATGCCTTATTTGGAGTACAAGAACTCATGTTCAGCAGAAAGATATATTCATATTATGCAACAGTTGTCATGCAAGTAAAAAGAGAGGCAATTAACAGAATGAGTAGAAAGGAAGAGGATAGCACAATACTAAAGAGACGTGTTGTTCTGTGTAGAAGGTGGACTAGTAAAGCGGCACCTACCAGCGCCACCTTGCTGTTGTCGCAGCTGTCGGTAGTACTCCTCCCAGGCCGCGCTATAATCTGGCTGTCCGTCAGCAGTCATCTTCACGCCTACAGTAGAGAATCAATAAAATGGTTAGCCTGGACTTGTTGAAACTTCTGCTGTTGAATGGTGGCTTTGCAGTTGAGGAAGGAATGTAGTCAATGATTTGTAATCTTAAAAAGGGTGCATGAACCGAGTATCTGAAGCTTGGTATACACAAAAGGACTCAACTCAATTGCTTACATTTGTAGATCGAAGTATTCCTAATTTTTGTATAATAATCACCAATGCTCATTTTTTAAGGTTATCAGCACTACACATCTTTTTGGTTTACATGGTAAGAAGCAACCTATGTAAACACTGAAATAATCAGTAAGAATGCAAACCGATTCACATTATTGAAGTCTGTATAAAAGTCACGTAGCACTTAGAACTGTGTGCAGAGCCGTAGAGTAGAGCCCTTATTTGTGTGGGAGTCCTTAGGGCAGAAGTGTACATGCACTAATTCAATGCAGGCACTCACTCTTCCAAACGAGGAAAATATTTCTTGTGATGAGAAACAATGTGAAGTGTTTTGTGATGAATTTATATGCCCTGTGTTCAGTAAGCCCTGTCGGGACTATCAAATCTTGTTTGACAAATACATGTGACATGCCTAAATATGGCCATGATGACATCACATCATCACTATATAAGGGCATACATCAGTTTTTGGTAAAAAAGATTTCATAATCTTGACAGAGGTTTAAACCTTCAATGCCATATAAGGTTAACATAAAGCCTACCTTGAGATGCTGCTGGCGACTGTGTTGATGTATTTGAGGATGGAGTAGATGAAGATGACGGTTGTGGCTGTGCCCCTGGGTTAGCTGGTTGTGCTCCTCCTTGCTGAGGATAGAACTGAGCATAGTATGATGCCCAGGCAGCCATTGTGTCAGTCTGGGATTGCTGTTGGTAGAAAGATTTAAAGTCTGTCAAAGATTTTACCAATAAATTAAACATTTTTTATTAACGAATACAAATAATGCCGTTTCTGTGAGATGAAATCTCACCACATACCTGTTGATTCCATTGGCCAAATGCATTACCCCAACCATGGGGGTTGTATGGTTGTGGGGGCCCTGGTGGACCACCCTGAGGTGGTTGGTGTCCTCCTTGTGGACCTCTGCAATAATAAAAACAAATATACAAACCAAAGTTATTATGTACAATTTTAATAGTTGTCTGCATACATCCCAGTTATTTTAAATACTTCAAAATTGTTTTTATTAATATTAGAAGTTTATAGCACTACACAAAATGTGGAATACACTCTTTCGTAAATAATTGCACTAAAGGATAATTAAAAAAAAAAACCAATTTAACTTCAACATACCCTGGAGGTGGACCTTGTCCATATGGGGGAGCACCGCCCTGTGGTGGAGGTGGACCTCTTGGATCATTCTGAAAAACAAAAACAAAAATTAATCATATTTCATGAAAATTTGTATAAATGGTGGTGCAAGAATCATTGAGCCTAAAAACAAGAAACCGAAACACAAGAATCTTAAGCACAGATTTACAGCTATGTTGAGAACATATTTATAGAAGACTTATCAATGACAATAAAAAAAAAATATCTCAATGGCTAGGCTGTGTATAGGTCAACTACTCTCATGGTCAATGACAGCCGAGTCTTCAACATGATGGTTAGTGGAACAAGTAACCAACATTTCCTTCTTGTTAATGAGTTCTTGGTGTGAGAAGATCTATCTAATAAAACTCACATTTATTTTTTCATTAATGAGGTACTTGGCATGGTCAATCTGTTCCTGTGTTCCACGTATGAAGAACAACTTCTGACCAGGTGGACCTGGGTTACGACTAATTTCAACATGTGCGCCACTCGTTGCTTTGATATTGTTGATGCTCTCACCACCTACAAACACGAAGAAAAGAAAAAACAAGCATAAAAAAATGATCAGTCTTACAAAAAAGTATTGAATAATAATTAAAACTTTTAAGATTAATTACTAGTAGTTAATGCTTTACCTTCATAAAACAACATTCATGTTATTGTTTATTCTTTATGGTAGTAACTATAAATTTACAATAGGTCTGTGGCTAGGCCTACTATCAAACCCCTCCAATTGGACACAGGTGCCCTGGTGGTGCTAGCGAAAACCCAGCCTGATATTTCTGTAGCACACATTATACGCCCAGCATCCACAGGATAGGATGATGGGTTCTAGCAGGTGCAAATATTTAATTATGTCATACGAGACAGACAGAATGACAATTAAAGGGTAGTTAATGAATTTTCAGTTATTAAATACAAAGCCGGGCTGGGCGCAACGATTGTCGACCGACATGATTCTAGGAAGAACGCAACGCACTGTGTGCACAACGGATCATTTTTAATGACGATTAGTTCAGACTGCCACCAGCAATTGGATACCCGAGACCAACCCACATTTTGAGGTCCCAAAAGTGGTCTTTAATTGGAAGTCAAATTATACAAATGTACATATTACATGACGACTGTATAGACAGGAATAAATAATAAATGTAGACCTTCATACCTTTACCAATGACAATTCCACACTTGTTTGCCGGCACTGCATATTCTAGTGTATTCATTCCTGGGCCTCCATGAGGCGGTCCACCATGAGGACCACCTCCATGGTGTGGAGGGGGACCTCTTGGACCTCCCATTCCTGGTGGTCCACGATTGAAGCCACCTCTGCCTCCTCTGAAACCACCTCGTCCACCTCCTCTGCCACCTCTCATTGGCATTCCATTTCCTCTGTCAACATCTCTCTGAAAATGAGAATTTGGTGTCATTTAAATATTTACCTCGAAATGGTAGTGATGAAGTTAAAAAAGATGAAACTCTAGATGGTGCATTAAAATTAGACATTAAATTTCTACCGAAAAGAAAGTGAATTTATGGGTGAGCTGTTTTCGGCAGTGGACCTTTTTGCTAGCCACACCCCTTGGACATTGTTGCTACGGTCCCACAAAGCCATGTTAAAAGATACGCAAACATGTAAGTTTGTGGGAAAACATGTGTTTGTGAGACGCGCACATATTTCTGATTGGTCAATTCTTAAGTATGATTGACACTTCGAAAAGGTCCATTATGATGGGTTGGTGCAATCTCTTCACTAGTTTTTAAACTTTTCTATATTACATAATTTCCATGCATATGTTACACCAGTTTCATTTTTAGGTAATAATAATAATAATAATGATACAAGATAATTATACCGCACCTATTTAACAAAAAAATTGTAAAAATTATCAAAGGTGCAAAGTGAAAAATAATCCAAACTAGAAAGATTTAATCAAATAATAAAGTTGGCAAAATTCTTGAATTACATTAAATTAGGAGTGTGTCTTAACAGAAATTGTTAATTAAAGGTGGTGGGAAATGGAAGGAGGAAGTGTGGGCAGAAAATAAGAATATTAGGTATAAAATGTGTTTAAAATTCCAATATTAACCTGACATGTTTTAAAACTTTAAACTTACATTAGCACTAGCAATCAACTTCTCAATTTCACCAGCAGCATTCATAACTGCGTCCTCAGGGCCAGAGACAATGGCAATTCTCTCCGGACCACCATCATCTAAAAGAACCAAGAAAAATACATTGCTTTGAGTGCAAAAAAATCTCCAGACAGTTCAACTGTTACCCATTGGAAGGATTTTAACAAATGTCAAATAAAATACTCGAGGTACATAAAATTATTATTTGGAAGATGTGTTATGTTTATGAAATATGGTAGACAAGTCTGTGAATGGAATACTTCTCTTCATTGTCTGCCATTTCTATTTGAATAAAGTAAAATAATGAATTATGCATTAAATGGATTTTTGAGTGATGGAATAATTGGATGAAATTTTCCAAATGGTGATGATGGACAGACTGCAAGAGAGTGAGGGAACTGTAATGCATCAAATGTAGTAAATCTGTACAATCCAAGTAAATAAAAGAAAGACCTGGTAGCATTTGTTTTGAACAAAAGTATAGGCTTACATTTCAATTCACTGTTTTTAACCCACCTAATGGTGCTTTATTCCCAACTATTTTTTATTTACGAAAAAAAAATAAATAAATAAATATGTACTACACATTTTTATGTTCAGTCTTCTTGTAGATAATAATTTCCTTTATTTTCAAATTGTTATGGGTCTTCCTGCTCAAAATATGTTATGTTGGTAATTTTAAATAAATTGCTTGAACATTATTTAAAACTTATGTTTAAAAAGTACTCATGGCTGGGCATACTGTCAAACTTCAACCAAGCCAGTTATTTCTGTTTCGCACACTATGCACCCAGCATCCACAGAAATCATTCCGGGTTCTAGCAGGTGCATAAATCATTCTAGTAAAATGATTGATGGTTTTAGATATATTTTATCGTATCTGTACATAACACATATTTTACATTATTACAATTTTTATTTTTATTACATGAAATCTTCATCATTCTTTTAAAGACTGTTTTTCCCATGTGAGGGTTAGACTGTTGAGAAACTGTACAGACATGAAAACAACATATTACTTCATGTGGTGTTCCATATTTATATATTGAGTGTAGCAGTCTCCTAAAATTTGTGCTGATGCAATAATTAAATTTGAAACTAATTTTGTGAACATTCTAAACTGTGTGAATGTTTACTGGCTTTGATACAAAAATCACCCTTTTTTGTGATTGAAATATGATTGGAATTGTTAAATGATATGATTTCACTTACCGTCTTGAAACTGAACACGTGCACCAGACTCTGCCTGGATTTTCTTAATTGTTTCACCTTGCCTGCCAATCACAATACCCACAGCAAACTTTGGAACTGGTACCTGGCATCAAATGAAATGTGGAGGGTTCAACATTTATTCATGGACAAGTCAATTCACATTCACACGGTCACATTGATCACTTCAAACAATACTTCCAGTCCATATTAACAAATTTCTGTGACAAACAGGGGTTCAGCCAGAAAAACGATATAGGCCGTCCAAAAATGGATGCCAGTGGGCGTGGCACTTTTGGGAATCCCCACCGAATATTGGTATGAAAACAACGTACATTCAATCAATAGATGTTGTTTTTATTAAACGTAAATATGATTTAGCTTTAGTTTAATGTAACACTCAATAGATTTGAATAATATAAAGAATTTGCTAAAGGTAGACCAGGCCCAATTAGGCTAGGCCAAGCTGATTAGGCCAAGCCATCACGGTAAAAGTGGCCGTCCTAAGTAATTCTACTACTAGGCCATTCAATTGACAGCCAACGGCTCGCTGGCTAAGCCTATGATGACAAATATATGATTTGCCCATATATGGGCATAATGTTGTTATATCACACCCATATACTTTATGGGAAAACCAGACATGACACATAAAACTTGCAGCAATATAGTTATGGTGGGCGAGGCCACCCAGTCTAGAGCTACTTTCATGGCCTATTTTGTTGTTACTCTCCACTCAGAGGCATATGTAGCTATTAGGATAGGAGTATACTTGGTGTGAATCAACAAAGATAACCCACCAAGTCTGAAATTTTTTTTTTCAGTGTTGTTTTTTCTGGTGATTAAATTGGCTGTACACCAGGAGACAATCCCCTACTCTTTTTCTAAGAATGTACTGTTTTTTTTAAACACGGGACCAACAACTTAAATGCCTTATCAGAAAAATGGTGCGCAATCATAACTTGTATTTCAGCCCTCCAGCTGAAACACAAGGTGAGCATTAGAAGGAACTGAAGCAGTGACTTAAGACCAGTAAGGATCTCCACGGTTTAGTGCACACACAATGTCTACCACCAGTTTAGTTCAATAAGCTGGATGTTGTGTCATTGAAGGTTTATTCTACATGCAATGCAGCATGACTAGGTATACTGCCCAGGGAGTGGAGAAGACAGTACTTATGGTTTAAATGAATTATAACAACATTTACAGGCTGTAAAAAAATCAGCAAGAGTTTGGAACAAAAGATCCAAAGCGAAAATGCTTACCTCTCGACCATTAGGTGGAGGACCTCTTCTTTGGAATGGATTACCCATTCCTGGCCCACGATTCCCAAGCTAAAGAAATGAGATAATTGTGAATTAAAACAAGACCCACAAGAGCAAATCTTAGAAGCTGCCACTGATTACATATTTATCTTAGAACACAAATGTTTATTTTTTAAAAACTTATTGTCATTAATAATCATATTATTAATATGAATTTTAATAGGTTGGTAGGTAACTACCTGTACATATATTTAAACTGAAATTGTATAAATCTGTTAATATTGCTTGATGATCTAAAGGATATAGTTTTCTATGTATTGCATTTGTCTTGTAAATTCTAAAATTGTGTAATACATTTATTGAAAAAACAAAATAATAAGAAACTTACATCATTGCCCTTAGATTCAAGTAGTTCATGTACTTTTCGGAATGCTTCCTGAAATTATAATATTTTCACATTAACATTTTTAAAATACAACAAAAACTCAAGACTTACTGTAGTTTCATACAATGTAGCTAATAAGACTGGCTAGATGATTTCTAGTGCTTGAATCTAAGTGAATACTGACAGCGGACCCCACTGAGGTATATGCGCCAGTATGTGCTATCAATATGCAATCTATTTGGTGTTATTTTTTATCATGATTATACCTATTTAAATACTTATTATACTAGTAAATTGTACTAGTAAATGAATTTTGTGTACACAACGCAAAGTATATAATTTGGTTTGGTGCTTCAAGTAGGGAAATCTGACAACTAGTGTCATGGCAGCGTCACTTTCACTAGTGCGTTTGTACGCAGAAACACTATCACATTCAATGTAACAGCAGCTTGTGCTTAGGCCTGGTGCTTCAGGCCTAATTAACTTGACAGAAATATACTACCAAAAATACTTTGGCCATGAGAATCCAAAGTAAAAACAGACAGACCTCAATGAGGTCTGTCAAGTTATCGAGATATTAACAAGGATCTATGTGTATGGTAACTTGGGCGCGTTGCGTTGTGCGTATTTTCACTGTCTGCGTATTAATTGCGCCAAATTTCAGCGAGTTTGGTAATTATTTTTGTGAACGTGAATAAAAACGGTAGGAAAACATTTAACAGATATTCATGTTAATATTTAGTACTTTTCTGTTGTATATGACAGAAAATTAAAGCTCCCTTAACTTCAAATGTGCTAGTTCTTGTTAATAATGCAGTCATTATGAACTCACAGATCACAAATAATGTCCCTACCTGTACTTTAGATGGTTCACCGCTTACTCTAAGTGGCTTATCAATACCGATGTTCTGTGGTCCATCTTGAATCATGGTCATTCTAACACCAATCTCATCCTACAATTAAAAACAGTGAATGTCTGTTATTACTGCTAATAGCATAACCAAACACAGTATTAGATGAAATTATTGCGCATTTACCTTAATGCATTAGTGTTGACAACGCACTGGCATAATAATATTCTCAACTAACAAATTTCATTACGAGGAAAAAGTGATATGAAAGACGGAAAAAACAATTCCCAAAACATCAGTGTTGTAACTGACTGGTATTTAGTTGTCCTACCCAGTATGTCTTCCTTAATTATATAAATTTAAAGCATTTATCAATCCCATTACTACACTGTTTATATTTATCAATAACATTTTATTTTTAAGAAGTACAATAATTATTATCACAGAAATGAAGATGGCGTGAATTATAGTCAAAATTTACAAATGAATGATTTGCCTATGGTTTACTAACCTGTAGAGTTCTGATGGTCTCGCCCCCTTTGCCGATTACCAGGCCTACTTTATTGCCTGGTACCATCATCTCCTCAGTAACGGTTCCTTCAGCGTCCGTCATCTTGGCTTTGGCAATGATCTTATCTAGTGCATTCCTTGCATTCCTAAAAAAAAAAAAAAAATAGGTAGACATATTATTTTATAACCGCTCAATTTCTAACAATAATTCATTTCAAACAACAATCATCAATACTTTTTTTCATTTTACAAAACACTCAGAAACCACCTGGTCCATCCAAAAAGGTACAAGACACATGTTGACAGGTGTAACTGTGATTACACATACATTGGGGAAACCAGACGATCTATAAAAACACGCATCAATGAACATAAAAAAGACAGCATTGCACAGGGGTATGTACCAGATGAAGCAGACTCTCAGCATCCAAAATCATTCACAACTCAGACATCACAGACCACACACAATCATAATCGTAACTGGAAAACTGTTAAATTCAAGCCAAGGAAACCGAATGGAACATCAGCATGATAAAGTAATTCATAAATAAGATTATAAGATAGATAATATTGCATCCCAATAACATGAACCTAGATCAAGGTGCATACAAATTACCACCCATATCCGACAACATTTTGAAGGAGACCGGCCTCCAAACACCCCGCTTGGAAAATCACAAGTGGTCATCTGGCAAATTTCATGGTCAAGGTTCATTGGAACCACCAGAATGCCCACTATTGTCATATCATCACATAATTATGATTAAGCCTCGGAGGAAGCAGGCGAAACATTAAGTCAATAAGTTTACCATATCATCATAAAAGAACCATATACTAATTACTGGATCCACTGCATTTATTCAAAAAATATTAGTAATGATGCAGTTTCTAATAAATAAAGGAATGAAAATTCATTCATGACTTACATTACAGAAACATTACTACCAGATAATGTACACACCCGATCTGGCATTCCATTGCTATCTGTAAATACATACAAACTTATAATATTAGTACAAAAATATGAACCACTCATCTTGTTTGTGCAGCTGAAAAAAAAGATGGAGATTGTCTTGTTGGAAGGGTAGAAGGGAAGAGGCTTTTGTAACCACCAAAATTTAGATGGGATTAACAGGTGAACCTTTGTTATTTTTATTAAATAAATTGTGGAAGGGGGAAGGGTGTACTCCACTACAGGGTGTGGGGTTATGCTCAGAATGTGTGCATCTTCTGATCAAGAGCAGAGAATGTCCTCCCACACAGAAAAGTTACACAATTGTAAAAGAAAAAATAATGTTACAGTAAAATTAATTATCCAATAAAAAAATTCTAACCCTGTAAAATTTATTATTTTTTGTATCTGTTATTTATTATATAGACTTATAATTATGAACAACAATGGATCAAACCTAATAAAAGTATTAATTCCCATGGAAAGTAAATAGTATAAGAAAATGACGCCCATCATAGAGAGTTTATTATTAATGAACTAGCTGGAAAACGGAGATCATCCTAAGCTCTCATGCTAAACAGGTTTTGAGGAAGTTAGGCCTAAAGGTATAATCCTAGTCACAGATACTATAAACAGTGTACATTATCTGTGTGCTAGTTCAGCCCATCAGTTTTTGAGGAAGCAAGGCCTACCTGGTGAAATTTGAATATTGCAACTTGTCTCTGTCTGTAGCCTGTTGATTTGCTCCCCACCACGGCCGATAACTGGAAGACAATCGTTATTTAGAGTCCATTAGGGAAACCAATTACGTTACTACCCCTACCGAGGTTGTGGTATGAACAATTGAAAACCCCACTAATAAAGGTATACCCCTCCTGGAATTGTGTGTGATAATCACAGTGGTAATATGAGTACTTGTTACATCATTAATACACCATTATGCATTTTCATAAACAAGATCAACATTATTTATTGTTATTATGATCATTTTTATCTGTTTGAATTCAAGAACGATTTAAAGCAGCGTTTTGCAAACTTTTACACTGATGAAACATTAAAAAATGAGTGGCGACCCAGTGTTCCCTTTATCAGCGATGCCAATATAGTGATAGTAACAAAATAAAGCTATTTCATTTCTGTCAATTTCATGACCCACCCATATAATTTGGCGACCACCAATTTGCAGAACGTTGATTTAAATGAAGCACCTTCATTCTACAATCTCTGTTGTTCTAATAAATAAAACTTGTCATTTATATATCTAGTCATTCGAAAAATTTCTACCTTAATAAAAATGTTTTTGTTTTGACAATAGCACCGACTTTTGCATATTATTTAGTATTTACATTTGACAGGATCAGCTGCAAGTGTTCTCCATATTTTAATATAATTAAGCATCAATATTTTTTTACCTAATCCAACAAGGCCATCTGGAATCTTGTAGTCTTCTGTGGCTTGTGCAGGCATCCTAATATGAATAATAAAAATTATTTACTGTACAATTATTATACAAGTTTCTTCTATAAGCTAATAATATAAAAAAATTTGAGAGTAGACTTTATACCTATATGTGACCAGTTCTGACAGCAACATTTGCTTGTGTATATTTCATGAGAGTTGGTTGAGTACATGTATTACTGAAGTTATGAATATTTAATTTATTGGACATAAGCAATGGCTGATTTCAGAAAACCGCTTCCAAAGATTCTAAAAATTAGTTAATTTTATATTAAGATTTGTTGTCTAAAAAAAATTGAATATACATTTTAGCTAGATATTTGGCAGTTTTGTTCTTCAACATGTTTTCTTTCAAACTGTAAAAACCTGAGATTGGCTGAGATGCCGATTCTCATACGTTTGGGTGCTAGTGCAAAATTATAAGTGCCGACAAATGTAGAATTTTGCTTAAGCTGGTTGCATATATTTTGATGTTAAAAATTTTACAACAAATTACCCTTGTCGCTGTTGAGCCAAAGCTGCTAATTGAGCACCGAAAGCTGGTAAAATAAAAGAGAAAATACATTTAGGTACACAAGACAAACAACATTGTCTATAAAATTAGCATCAAATATATAAATATTGATAGGGACAGTACTATTAAACTGGTTTAGTCACAACAGTGGCTATGGTTACAAAAGCTGTAAACTAATTGGTAGAGACAATAAAAAAACGAGGAAGCAAATTAAAAATGTTTAATTTGCATAAATGTGCCTATGGCGCATTAATAACCAGACTACGTTTTAATAATTTGGTTCATATGTTTAATTCCAGTGATTACATACAGTAATTAAATATTGTTTAAAATACTACAGATTAATTATTCCACTAGGTATCATTTTCATGTTCACATGCTATCTGCTTAAGGAAGGTAATAAGACGGCTTACGATCATTCTCAGCAGCCGATCTCTTTGCATCTGGCATGCCATCACCGTCATCCATGGGTCGCTTTATGCCCAAGGGGATCCCTGGTGGTGGCTCTACAACACCCGCTGGTGGGCCAGCTGAGCTACCAATCTTGGCCGCAATCTGTGTATAAAAAATATAAACTATATTAAAGATAGAAAAAAAAAACCCCACAACTAAATTAACTCCTTTCACCCAAATTGAGGTATAATATCTATGGCACTACAAGGTTAAAAAACAATGGTTGGCCCTGGTTATTACTTGGATGATGGGGGACGGGTCTTTGAATGCTAGTGCTGTAGACTCGAGTAATTAGGTGGTGCGAGAGAGTTGCCTATACCAGGATATTATTACACAACTGAGCTGGCTCAAATCTGATGTTCATTTTTTGTGGAAAAATAGGCCCGGAGCAAATCTTAACTGGGATCACTTTAACATTTTTTGTTTGTTTTGCCAATTGGCTAAAGTCAACAATTTTTTTTTAGCCAATTGAACTGTTTTTAGCCGAAATTTGGCGAAAATTTTTAAAAATCATTAGCCTTGCTGACTGGACATGGGGTCCAACATGTTTGACATTGGAGTCTGAACCAAGTGGCTGCCTAGAATCCAGAGATGTACAGGGGGGGGGAGATGGTGTGGCAATCAAGACAACACTACTCTAAGGGGTCTACAGTATTTTTGTTTTCCAAACGCTTAAAAACAAACCTCTGAGGCGTTTTTTGGGAGAATCTCAGTCACAACACATAATTAAAAATCATTTTTACATGATTCAACCACTCGCAAAGTACATTTTCCAACAAAAAAATATACCTTTATAAATACAGGTTAATACAGCATTTCCGCGCTTGCTAGCACGACGAGCTGTACATACTGTTTTGCAATCCAGTAAGAAATTGCCAGAATGACCGAGTCAATTCTTTAGTTTTGAAACAGTTAAAGGCCAGTCTTATAATATGAATCTGAACTTTCGTATGAAACATCCGTGGCATCATCATTACGTGGTACCACCTTTTTGAATTTTCTTTTCGTAATCAAATTTATTCGAACCAACGTTTAGCATCCATGGGTGGCGCCCGCGGGGCTCCCCCTGTCGGGGAGAAAAAAAATTATTTGTCGGAGAAAAAAAAAATGATATGCTATTTTTTTACATATTAGTATTACATAAGCCCCCTGGACCACTTTTGGAACATTTTTAGCAATGTTCAACCACGCATACTTTGATGTCGTCGGGGAAATCTACCTCCTCATTGGGGCATCACCCCCCCCCTGTCGGGGACCTAGGGCCCCAACCCCCGTCGGGCAAATCCTGGCGCCACCCCTGTTTAGCATTGGCTTTGATAGTTGTTTTGCTGGATTCGGCCGCAAAACAATTCGGCTAGGATTATGACCAGTTGAGCCGCCGACAAGTTGAGCCGCCGGTCATTTCTATGGAACGCCAAGCGCGTCTCTCAGTGAATGTAGTGCGTTAATTGCGGCGTACTTCAATTAACTTATTCGTTCTTGAATCTTGGTACTGTTGTTTGGGTTGGGATGTAGGCCTATTTCATTTTACTTACTCAGTTATTTCAATTTATTTAATACTCGGTTTTTGCACTGATTTATTAAATATTTATTGGGACGTATTTCAATTTATTTACTTGTTCTTTCTATCGTTTTAATTTATTTGCTCAGTCAGCTTGGCGTTCCATAGAAATGACCGGCGGCTCAACCGGTCATAGGCCCTAGGCCCTATACTGAAAAATACGATGGAGGAACGCATTTTTTTTTTGTTTTTAGTCAATTCGATTCACTGAATGAAAAACTATAAAAAACATATACAGTAACTGATAAATAATAGGCCTATAGTAAACAGATATGTAATGCACAGATTGAAGCCTAGGCCTAGCTACACAGACGCAAACCGATAATCTAGCCATAGACTAGGCCTACAAAACAATTACGATGCAAAGACCAAGCAAGAGATTATTGTGCAAAATGGCATGCAAACGGAAAAGTAGACGTTTTCTAAATCTGGAATTACTATTCTCTACAAACCTGTTTTGCTCTTTGCACAGCATCAGCAAATGCAGGATTATTTCCCACACCGCTTGGTGGTGGAACAGCAGAAAAATCATTCATTTTGGACAGAATATATTAATGGTAATTGAACAATGAACATGTGCTGCTTAAAACAGTGCGTCTTATCCAAGATGGCTTCTTGCTTGTCGGCGTTATGTGTCACGTGACCTGTATGATCTAATTTAACAAAGAGGGCGCGCTAGCACAAGCGTTCAGGTAGGTACTGATGAATCAAACTCAAAAAGGGACACAAGCCCGTAAGTGATACAGGAAATTGTTATAGGTAGCAATATTGTCGTTGTTACGTTACGTTTAGCCACGTTTTTCCATACTATCTTATGTCAAACTTATCAGATACCCAAACAGTATCACAACCGTAAGCTTTTTGTTGAGCCGATGATTATAAACACAAAGCTGTGTATTACACGAATGAAACCAGGTGATTGTGGATAAACACTTTCCAAATATACATAATATGTAGGACAATTTTTTTTGTAACATTTTTAAGGAAAACTTGAAAACTCACACAAGACTTCAAAATTAAAACATTTAATGGCCTCAGTTGAATTGAATTTTGAATTTATTCGCATCTTAATATACATACCGTAGTAAAATACAAAAAAACAATATAAAAAAATATATACAAAGGTTAAATAATTAACCTTACTCTAAATAAACAAATTTTTTAAAATTATTACTTTTAAAATTCAATTATTAATAAATATCTTATCTATGTAATTAAAAACTTAACTACTTTTAAAAACACAGTCAAATTATGAAGAAAAAAGACAGGAACAGGAAAAACACACAAAAGATGCAAGGAAAGCCCATGAAAGTCCAAGTAAGACATGTTTCCAATGAGGTTCTTAAGACAAAACCACAGTGTACATTAGATAACAAAATTGAAAAAAAAACCTGTTTGAGGAGGCCCACTGTATTCAGGCCAGCCTTCTAAAGTACACAGGTCGCAAAGATATTATTGCTAATGAATAGACTACAATAACATCATCCAGCCAACTAGGCCTAAATCTAATGGTCGAGAATAGGAAACGTTTACGAGTAGGCCTATTGGCGGAGGACAAGTGTTCTATTTTTTTTCATTTGAAAACTAAGTGGCCTACCAAATCGGTCTACAAATTAAGCAATAGTTTTTTTTTAAATTTTTGCCAAGCCTTTTATTTCTATAATCACATAATTTATAAATGAAACCTAATCACATTTATCATAAAACACTAGTAACATACTATAGAGAAAACATCATTGCATAACAAAATTTTACTTGTACTTATAATTTTACTTTTTCCTTTTTTTTTTCTTTTTTTTTGACATGTATAGTGACAAAAAAAAAATTAGGTTCGTTTTATGTTTTTTTTGTATGATATAATACTCTGGCCTTTGAAACAATTTTAAAGCGTCTTGCAGGAATGCTTTATGGATACTGTATATATAAAGTGAAAACAGCAGGGGTGGCGGTAGGATTTGCCCGACGGGGATGGGGGGGGCGATGTCCCGACGAGGGGTCAGATTTCCCCGACGAAAGCAAAGTGGGCGTGGTCGAACTTCGATTAAAAGGTTTCCAAAGTGGTCCAGGCCGCGAAGCCCCAAAAATTTTGACAATTTTGGGGTTTCAAAAGCTTATTTAATGGATTTTAGAGTCTACTAATAGGCCTATGTAGAAAATACATATAATTTTGTTTCCTCCCTGACGAATTGTGCTTTTTCTCTCCGACAGGGGGGGGGGGCAGCCCGTATAAGAGACAGCCCCGATGGGGGAGGGGGCTGGGGAAGACACAAAACATATTTAACGAAAAACTCTGAAGCAGTTAATGTGATACAAATTTTTGAATGTTTAAAAACTAGGGTGGGGGAAAGGGGCGTAACCACCCTTTTTTTAGGCCTACACATTATTAAGAAACCTTCGAGAATGTACTGAATATTGAATTTGTTAATTTTAGTTAAAAAATCAAAAAGAAATCTTCATCTGAACATTTAACCAGCAATCTATGCAAGTATGGTAGCCCTAAATAGACTTTCCGTAACGTAAGAAAAATCGAAACTACAATCTAACCAGCTCTTTCCCCTGACCACATTTAGTCAATTATTGCACGCCCCACCCCCACCCAATGAAACTCTTGGATAAGGTCCTGATTGACGCGTCTTGTGCAGTACCATACGGTACTTCTTGATCTGTCATAACGTATTCCTTTTTCACAATTGAATAATAATAATAATAATAATAATAATAATAATAATAATAATAATAATAATATTAATAATAATAATAATAAATTAATGCTTAGTGCACAGTGCATAAATTAATAGTCAGGCGAGATCGATATGAAAACATGATCAACCCTATGATAATAATTCGATGTTCCAGCACGATTAATTTCTTGCCATCGGTACAACAGTTAGATAAATTTGTGACAATCTACTGTGATAATAATGATGGCGCCAAGATCTGACCGAGGGGGAGGGGGGATTTTAGCTGAGGGCGGCCTAGAGATCTCAGGGACCTACAAATATTGGACGAACTTTGCTGAATTAATATTGGTTTTTTAATAGGCATACGGTAGCTAATGCAGTCGGTGGCGGAGATTTCATATTTTCGTAGGAGGAAATAGCTTGAATCGACCCACTTGGGCTGGAGCTCGCAAATTCTAGAGGAGATGACTAATTTAATATATTTCTAAGGAGGGAATCTGCATGCCAAAAATAGTGATGTAAAAATTTGGGGAAAAAAATACAAAAAGTGTCCAGTGGAGGATCCAGGAATCTGATATAGAGTGGCCCAGAGAGGGACTTTCACAGATGGTAGTTGTAGACCACCTCAGCCTCACCATGGTTGGGGCAGAGGTAAGAACATTTATGATTATGGCACTTAAAATTTTAATATGATTTTCTTTTTTCTCCATTAAAAAAAATATTGACAGATTTAGGGGGCACTGGCCGGCTCGCCCCTCCTTCCTTCAATCCGCCACTGCCATCTGTAATAAATGTTATTAAATTTGAAACAGAGTGATTGTCCTTTTTACTGACTCAACTAATAATTAAAACAGAAAAAAGAAGAAAAAAATAAAATCACACAAACATTTTTAAGGTTTATGGTTATGTTTCTGTGAATTGACCCATTGAGACCTGATTCCCTTTACCACCATGACATTTCTTGAAGTTACAAAACAAACGTGTAACGATATAGTGAGCTAGCAGCCGTGTTACTAGAAGGAAAAAACACTATGCAGCAGCATCCATGGGGAGGGGCTAAACTCCTGCCGTCGCTGGTGTTGCCGCGAAGGAGGATAAATTTCCAGAAACCCCCCCCCCCTCGTCCGACGCCGTGAAGAGGTCGTCGGACCAAAATAACTTGCCTATATCCAAATAACTTTATTTTAATTGCTAATCACTATTATTATTATAGTCTAAAAGCATATAATTTGGGCCATATTAAGCCATAACAACTTAGCTGGCCATAATCCCTTACTGTACTTCTGACCCCCCTGTCGGACATGATAGGACCACATGTCGGCAATATAGAGCCACCACTGGTCCCTGGCGCCCTTCACTTGAATTGCGTGAACAAATATACGCTAAAAAAAAAAAAAACCTACAAAATAAATCTAAATTATAACATGATCATTTCAAAGCTAGAACCCATCACTTTTCTACCGCGTTCTTCTATGATGATAAATGAGAATAATTCACGTTAAGACTAAAACATTATTGTAAAAAGCTTTCGCCCACTATTGTAACATGGCAGTGTCATAACGATGAGTCACGTCGGAGCGAGAGTGTTGGGGGGCTACATGCTCTTTAGTAATAGATTACGAGTGTCACGAAAGTGGTTGAGGGGCCCCTTACAGCAGAATACCATAAATACTAGTAATTTTATTCGTATTTCCTGTCAATTTTAGTAGCCCTTTCTTCATTATTTCAGCTTCGCCCCCACCACGAAAGCCAGTAGGCGTTATGCCACTGTATTCAGTGGCGGGTCCAGGAATTCTTAATAGGAGGAGGGGGGTCCAGGGAAGGAATTTCACAGTTAGCAGGTCAATTCCACCTTAGCCCTCACATGGTTTTAGCTAAAGGTCGGAAAATTTAGGATTATGGCACTAAATAATCTATATGGCCGAAAATGGCACTCTCAGCCTTATTGGAATATAGGCCTAATTTTCTTTTTTTTTCTATTTTTTTTTATTTTGAAAAATATAGGAGGTGGGGAGCCTGGACCGGTTGGGCCTCCTTTGAATCCGCCACTGGTATTGTCGCTTTTATGATACAGTACGTTCCATTAATCTTAAAATATGCCAAGAAGTGTAATGTAATTACCCAACTTTTTAAACTAACGTCGATGTTTAGGTAGCAGTAGTCAATTCAATTCAATCCAATTTAATTCATTTATTTTCCAGAAAACATTATTATTATTATTTACAAAATCATATCAGTGTTAACTGTTGTGAATATTTAGGTATGGAACACTAATCCTAATCCTGTAGGTAAACACACTGATTACGTTGAGACATTTCGATTGGGGTCTCATTAACTATCAGAAAATCGCCGTAAAACACCCTACAGTCAACGCTCATTTTGTTGTACAATTTGACTGAAATGTATTTTTTTTTGGTCACTGAACTTGTCCAGGAAAACGAGACAAACATACAGCTATTCTCACTCCAATGGTGTTTAGGGTAATTTTTTTATACGTCAAGCTGTATAAAGTCAGCAATTAGATGGACAATGAAAATAATTGAATGAGCAAGTTTGCGTAAACGCAGTCAGCGACGCCTACTTTCAAGGTGCAGTCTATGTGAAGGCGTAATCAGAATGAGTATAAATGGACCTACTGTCCATGCGTTCATTCATCCGCTGATGTTGCTTCTTAATTACGTATCATAATTAGACCAGGTGGGCCTTGGCACAGCCTTTCACTTTTTTGTCTTACAGTATACTGTAGTCTCATAGGTTCTTCACGTAATCATGAAACTAAAGTGGAATGTTAAGGGCCGACTGGATGTAGAATGTTTCTCTGCTGGCGATTGGTGACTGACTGACTGACTGAGGGAGAAACTCGTTTTGTGGGAGTGCACTCCCTATATACGCCACCGGGTGGGGCGGGATGGAGAAGGACGAAGTGCCAGTCGAGGACCTACGGAGGTCAAGGGTTTG